CGCCATGGCGACGTCGCCGCGCGCCGTTAGGGGCTGCGCCGACCGTTGGGGCCGTTGCAAACCGTCCGAGGGGACGTAGGGCAGCGGGAGAGCTGGCGGGGGAAGCGCCCGTCATTTCCTCCAGCAAGTCTCCTTTCAGTGCTTAGCAGCTGTCGCTTTGGGCCTTGTTCTGAGGTCCCGTGTGAGTTATTTCTTCCCTAATCCCTTTCAACTTTTTTTTTTCCTTTTTTTTTCTTTTCTGTCAGGGACGTGGTTGTTATATTTGCCGTGCACCTGGAGTATAGGCCTGGCAGCGGAGCCGGGTTGCCTTCCAGACTGCTATATGCTATCCCTGTTTGGGGCTGGAGCAGTGCTGATGCGTGGAGCAGGCTGCACGATTAATGACATGTGGGATCAGGACTATGACAAAAAGGTAGAGAAACGTCTGTGGACTTGAAAAGACCTGTCAGGCTCGTAGTTTTTGATAAGGAAGAGAATTGCTGGTTATTTAATGAAACAAATCTTCTCTCATCTGCAGCACGATGAGTAATTTCGTGCGTCAAGCACCCGTAGTAATCCAGGCAAATCCATTTTTCCCCCAGTTCAAAAACTTTTCCGTGTTTTTGTTTCAGTGCAATTAATTTGTCTACGTTTTCTGTTAGAATGGTAAAAATTGTTTTATTTTTGTGTCACTCTATGTTGGCTGTAGTAAGTCTTCTAGAATAATTACCTCTCTGTGAACTAAATTATATGTTCTCAGCTACGTGTAGTACTTGAACAAAATAAATTTAGTTTTTCAGCGCTTTCCTCCACATCAGAGCAAAAATAAATAACCCCTTTGCTATGTTTTATAGCTACATGAGCTGACAGTGAGGTGGACTGAGAACTGGCTGAATGGCAGGATTCAGACGGTTGTGATCAGTGGTACAGTCTAGTTGGAGTCTGTAGCTAGCGGTGTCCCCTACAGGCCAGTCCTGGGTCCAGTCTTCATCATGACCTGGAGGAAGGGACAGAGCGCACCCTCAGCAAGTTTGCTGACGATACTAAACGGGGAGGAGCGGCTGACACACCAGAAGGCTGTGCTGCCCTTCAGAGGGACCTGGACAGGCTGGAGAGCTGGGCGGAGAGGAACCTCCTGAAGTTCAACAAAGGCCAGTGCAGGGTCCTGCACCTAGGCAGGAATAAACCCCCTGTACCAGTACAGGCTGGGGGTTGACCTGGTGGAAAGCAGCTCTGCAGAGAAGGACCTGGGTGTCCTGGCGGACGACAAGTCGACCGCGAGCCAGCAACGTGCCCGTGTGGCCAAGAAGGCCAATGGGATCCTGGGCTGCATTAGGCAGAGTGTTGCCCGCAGGTGCTCCCCAGTACGAGAGAGACATGGCACCGTGGGAGAGAGTCCAGCGGAGGGCTACCAAGAGGATGAGCGGAAGGGAGCATGTCTCCTCTGAAGCAAGGCTGAGAGAGCTGGGCCTGTTCAGCCTGGAGAAGGGAAGACTGGGGGGGGGATCTGATCAGTGTGTACGAGTATGTGAAGGGAGGGTGTCAAGAGGACGGGGCCAGACTCTTCTCCGTGGTGCCCAGGGACAGGACAAGAGGCAACGGGCACAAACTGAACCACGGGCGGTTCCGTCTGAACCTGAGGAAAAACTTCTTTGCTGTGAGGGTGACAGAGCGCTGGCACAGGTTGCCCAGAGAGCCTGTGGAGTCTCCCTCCCTGGAGATATTCAAAATCCAGCTGGACATGATCCTGTGCAATGTGCTCTAGAAGACCCTGCTGGAGCAGGGAAGTTGGACTAGATGGTTTCCAGAGGTCCCTTCCAACCTCAGCCATTGTGCGATTCTGTGACTGCTAGTTACAGTCTACTCAAGAACTATTTATGTGTTTTTTGTAAACTTTCAGGAGCAGATTTTCCTTGAGTGTTCTTAATTTCTTCATGAAAATGACTGTTAAGAGTATCATGCTCAAGTAAGAACATATCTTCTATTTGTTGCAGTTTTCTTCTCTATTTTGCTCCCGAGAGGGAAGACAGACAAAATTGTCAAAGGCAGTCTCTAATGTCAGATTTTGAAATGTGCACAAGCGTAGGCCTGGAGAGTATCCTGGTGAATTGTCGTTATTTGCTTGTCCTATTTCCTGTTCCTGTATTTTTGCTCAGGTTTTGGGTATTGGCTGCTGTCAGGTGACAAGATAATGAGCCAGTCTTATCTGTGAAGTTGTTCTGGGAGCAGTTTTGTGTTAATGCTGTGGGAAATGAATGATTCAGTACAGTTTTGTGGTATCTTTGGATGGTTTAGGGCTCCATGTTTTTAAATAACTCCGTATGTCAAAATGATATCATAGAGTGGGGAGTGTGATTAGTAAGGTGGAATTTGCATTATAATGACTTCATTTATGAATAAATGTACAGGTTTTAAACAAATTTCTGCAGCAGCTCTTTCTTCACAAACTGCAAGCAGATATCTATAACTGGTGTGTTTAAAGCTGGGTAACAGGATGTTGGTTTGTGGTGGTGGTGGTGCCTTTATTTTTTGTTCTTTTTGTATTCCTGATGGCTTGAACAGTGTTACTTTTTTTTTTTTTAAACATCCCATGTTTGGTCCTGATGTGCAGCAGAATTGGTCACAAGTGTGTAAAGGCACGCATGTTTAAGTAACAACTTTTTGTATCGCTTAAACTGCGCAAACACTATTTGAAGTTTGATATAACTAAATTATGATACAGGGGAAAAACAAACTAAAAGAGCTTACACTTTCTTCTGATGTTTCTTTCCTCTTTTATCTGCCTTATATGTTTTTTCTGCTCCTGAGAGAGGTTCTAAACTCTTTTATGTCCTGATTAGGGTTAAATTAATTTTCTTGTTACTGCTGTTAGCAATGGCTGTGTGTGGCATTCTTAATATTTCAGTGATAGAGGGATGCTGAATCTTTAGGATCTGAAATCATCACCATAACCACCTTGACCACAGAAATATTGTTCTTCTAATGTTGGGGTAGTTAGCTCACAGCATTTAACTTTTTCAGTTTTACAGAATTTTTGTTCTGTTAATAATATTCAGATGCAAGATTTCTATATACTTGCAGTATATCTAATCTGCTTCATTGCACACAAATAGCATTTTATTTCTGCTTTAATTTTTGAAGGCAGCATCCTCCTAATTGTAAGTATTACCACTTAGAAATACTCTCATGTATGTGATGATACAGAGTTAATAATCTTGGAGGAACCCTGTCTCATTCATTTTGTGAGCTGTTTGTGCTTTGTTTTTTCACTTTCATGCCAGAGGCATGATACTTACTTTTAAGAGTTGTTTGAATTTGTTATGCCAGGTTTAGCATTAACATTAATTTTTTTCTTGTTTTAGGTTGCGAGGACGGCCAGTAGACCCCTAGCAGCTGGAGATATCTCTACTTTTCAATCCTTTGTTTTTCTTGGGGGACAGCTTAGCTTGGCTCTTTGTGTGCTTCTGTGTCTGAATTACTACAGGTGATTTATAAGTGATCTTTTATTCTTCAGAATTTCATTTCTAGATCAGTGTTAAGCACAGAGGTTTTCAACAGAAAAGGTTGGGGACAGGGGACAGAGAGAGGAGGTTATTAGTCCTTGTATTGTAGCTGAAAGTGAAATAATTAGTTCAGTGCTATGAACAACACTTGTGATGCTGCGCAATGTCTTGTGATCCTTAGACCAGCAAATAATAAACCTCTTAATACGTTTTACAGTATTGTTCTGGGAGCAGCCTCCTTGTCTCTTGTGATCACCTATCCTCTGATGAAGAGAATAACATACTGGCCACAGTTAGTTTTGGGTGAGTTTAAAATGTTTTTACTGTTTCTTCCTCAGATATAGTTTTTGGTTTATTCTAGAAATTAGAATTTGAATTTAAGCCATCTGATTTTATATAAATTAAAATAAAATAGCTTGCAAATAAAGTTGTGTTGTGCCAGAAGCTTCTTAAACAATTTATAAGACATCTAAGAATTGGAGTTTTTTTAGTTTTCCTGTTAATAAGCAGTTTCTCTTCTTGTAAGGTTGGGAGAGAGGAAGTACTTGTCATGTGAGAATTAGCTGTAGTTCTGAGGTTATCTTGAAACCTTTCTGAAACATGCCCTGCGTATCAGTGTTCAATGTCTATAATGACTACTGTAGAGAAACTGATGGCAGTGGTGTTTCCACTGCAGCCATAAGACATCTCTCAGTATCCTGCCTTTACGTTTCAGCTGCCTTCAGCTTTTCAATCAAAGTTATGATTTTCAGCCTTTATTTACCACAGTTGTCTGCTGTGTACTCTTCTGCAGCCAGTTATACTGACACGTAAGCATTTTAACTTTAGAAGCTGTTGTTTGAGTACGCTCAAGAGCAAATTTTTCCCTATGCTAATGAAATCAAATTTAAGCTGGGGAAAAAATGTGTAGCTATATATACTTCTCCATGTATGTCCAGTATTTTTAACGTCAAGTTACTTGTATTTGTTACCTGATTGAAAATACAAACGTAATTTAGATTTCTCCTGGCACCCTTTTAGCTCCTTTTTTTAACTCTCCTTCTGCTTTTAGGACTTGCATTTAATTGGGGAGCCCTTCTTGGGTGGTCGGCCATCAAAGGGTCGTGTGAGTGGTCTGTGTGTTTACCTTTGTACTTAGCTGGAGTTATGTGGACGCTGGTATATGATACCATTTACGCGCATCAGGTAGAGTAACAGTAGGAACTTTTAGATAATTGTGTATGTTCACATGTTTAATTTACTAGTTTGGATTCAAACAGTACTAACCTGTTGCAATTCCTAACCGTGGAATGAGCTAAAATAGCAAAAAATAAAAAGTCTCTGGGACTCTCTTTCCCCTCTTTAAGCATTCAACCTAGTTTGCAAAGCATTTGGAGTGTAATGGGGTTTGTGTCCCTACGCATAAATGCACTGTGTAAATAACATTGGTGCTGCTGTTAGCTATTGGGTGACAAAACGGCGCTGTCTATCAATGTTTTAATTTAGGGATCTACAGATAGGCTTAAATTGGCTTCCTAAATAAGCATTTGTAGTGTTAGCGAGGCCCATTTTTTTCCCCTTATGTAATAACACTTGGATTCTGGGTTTTTTGCTAATTCATTCTTTCGTTTTAGGATAAGAGGGATGACGTCCTTATTGGTGTGAAGTCAACAGCGTTACAGTTCAATGAAGATACAAAGCAGTGGCTCAGTGGCTTCAGTGTTGCAATGCTCTTGGGCTTGTGCATGGCAGGAATGAACTGTAACCAGACTTTCCCTTATTACTCCGCTGTGGCTGCCGTAGGTGCTCACTTAGCGCACCAGGTTTGATTGATTTATTTATACTTTTTCTATGTGGAAGTTCTTGATAAGAAATTGGAGTGCTTTTCAACCCCTATCAGTTTGCAAACTAGCTGAAAATTTTCCTGTAAATTCCTATAAAGAGATTGTAAGTCTTCTAACTGTAAGCTTGCTTCTCTTTAGTAGCTTTTGCAGAGCTTGCTTTTGAAGAGACTCCAGTGATCCGCAGACTGTAGAGAACTGCTCTTCAGTCTGTTCCTATTCCAAAGAACTCAGGCTGTAATCCCAGGGGAAGAGTTCTCTTCTCACTTCCAGTAACAGCAATAGCTAGATCCTCTTCAATATGAAATAGGATTTTGCAATCTTTACTGTTCTGATATAGTTCTCACTGTATCTTAGGTATATGATTTAAGACTGCAGTTGCACTCTATTGTGATTGTTCACTTAATTTAAAAGCCTACATGGTCTGCTGTATCAACGACACCTGCAGATTTTTTCTACAACATGCTGTACCATAGCTGTATAAAAATGAGTATTGTATGCTGTCTTCCAGAGATGTTAGTTGTACATCTAAACGATTTTTCTGTACTGTGCCCTAGTGGTCCAGTAAATTTCCTTTGACTTTTTCTCTACCGCCCGTAGCAGATGCTAATATTACAATTTTACAATAGTTGATAGTTCTAGTTCACTGTTCTTTTTGTACCTGAGGACAATCTAGTTCATCTTGTATTTATATTAGTTTAGACATTCTAATGAATAACAGTAAAACTTGGTCCAAAAAGGAAGCAGATAGGATCTTTTTACTCTGTTCTTTTTGAATCATAATGACTTTTTAAATTATTAGTGACTGTCTGGTCTAGTATTGAAGGGACAAGCTAGTCTGTAGAAAGTTAATTGTTGGTCTTAATAGGTGAGTGATAATGAAGGGGTCTGTGCATTGCAAATAGTAAAACTATCAGCAGTCTGAGAAGCTAAGTATATGACGAACATGCAACTTGGCATGAAAGGGGCAGCTAATCCCTATGTTAAAGCACATTAGACTTAAGTAGCCCTTTAATGGGGAAGCTCGTGTGGCTCATAGATATTATACATACCTGTGGGTAAGAGAATTCTTGTGATAATGCAGTTTGGTACTTCTAGCCACTGCTCTTCATGGGCATTGTGCTTGGGAATCTTTCAAAAAATACCACATTCCATTGTGTAATCATTCAAAGTTTGAGTCGTCAGAGTGGCTGTAACCCGTAGCGTTGACACAAATGCAGACTACTTTACTGCAACAGGATTTTTATACGCAAGGATGCAGACCTGCTGGATGTAAGTGGAGAAGAGTGTACAACAACCCTCTAGATTATCGAAGTCATAAGAAGAACATTGTTCTATGTACCAAGGAGTGTCTTCTTCTTGAGTGATCATTTTAATATTAGTTCTACGTAAGCAATTTCATGCTTATTTCTTTGTTCAACATTTTTGCAAATGCAATCTAACTGATTTTAAAAAGCTCAGTAAGCTACAATAAGGGTTAGCTTTTTCTTAATTCCTTGACTTTCTGCCTGAATCATTGTCTAAGTGGAAATAGAGGAATTCCGGTCACAGAATCACAGAATGGCCGAGGTTGGAAGGGACCTCTGGAAACCATCTAGTCCAACTTCCCTGCTCCAGCAGGGTCTTCTAGAGCACATTGCACAGGATCATGTCCAGCTGGATTTTGAATATCTCCAGGGAGGGAGACTCCACAGGCTCTCTGGGCAACCTGTGCCAGCGCTCTGTCACCCTCACAGCAAAGAAGTTTTTCCTCAGGTTCAGACGGAACCGCCCGTGGTTCAGTTTGTGCCCGTTGCCTCTTGTCCTGTCCCTGGGCACCACGGAGAAGAGTCTGGCCCCGTCCTCTTGACACCCTCCCTTCACATACTCGTACACACTGATCAGATCCCCCCCCCAGTCTTCCCTTCTCCAGGCTGAACAGGCCCAGCTCTCTCAGCCTTGCTTCAGAGGAGACATGCTCCCTTCCGCTCATCCTCTTGGTAGCCCTCCGCTGGACTCTCTCCCATGGTGCCA